TTTCTTACCCGCTGTAAACACATTTATTTCTGCTGTAACGTTGGACATGTTACCCTGTTACCCCATCCACCTCTGGTGGATGTTAGAGGAACTGCAGTTTTTAGCACTTGACCATTAAAGTCTGTTCAGTTTGGTGATTATCGCTTTTTTCCAGCACCCATGTAGCCAAACATCAGTTACTGATGACGTTGTAAGCAGAGATTAGAAATGCATCAACCTTAAAAGTAAAGAAATCCTCAGACAGCAGGAAAGCTAAAGGTTAGTTTTGTATTCTTCTGTTTCAGGACTTGTTGGACTTTGTCTTCACTGCTGTGTCCCCTAAGATGCAGGTGCTGGAGTGTATGTACATCAAACAGACTATTGACCTGCTGCAGGTAGGACACAGCAGTAAAACACCAGAAAAACTAGAATCTGAGTCTTCCAAGTTCTTGTTGCCCTTTTGTTTGGTTATTTTCCATATCTGTGCTTTCAGGGTTTGCTCCCCGCAGCGCAGGACAAACAGGGTGGCCATGATCATGTGGGACGCATGTTTGTCTTTGCGGTCATGTGGTCTCTGGGTGCACTGCTGGAGCTGGATGACAGAGCCAAGATGGAGGCCTTCCTGAAGGTGTGTGAACGTTTTCTTTGACTCCATAACAAACCTCGTTTTCAAATCAAATGAACCCATAGTGTGAATATTTACCGTCTACAGAGGCGGGATTACTCACCTTTACCCGCCCCCACCCTTAAGAAGAGGGCTAGGAACAAGGCTATGACCTACCCACGGTCCTGGTCAGATTCTCGTACCACTTTTCCAACACACTGACGTCTGCTCCTAATCGAGCACAGTTTCACCATTTTATGCTAAAAGAAAAAAGTTTGCAGTACTTTGTGTACAACCTTGGACCCAGTGACACCAGTGCCATTTGAAGAGCCTGTCACATTAGAAAGAAAATGATCCCCAGTTCACAGACTGATGATCAGCACCCACTTTATTAAGTTTAGATACCAAACCAATCAAACTTTGACTGGTTCCAAGCAAAAAGGTAAAAGACGTCTAACAAAGGGTCACTCATCTGGAAATGAGTCAGTCCTGCTCTGTTATCACAATCCTGAACAACAAACGAGTCACATGGGACTTTAAAAAAAGGTTTTTAAAGGATATATCTGGTTGGAAATGGATATAAATATTCCATTTGAGTTGAAAGGTGTTTTTGTTTTTGTCTCAAAGGCCCACAGCTCATCTCTGGACCTGCCACCCACTCAGGATAACCAGACCATCTTTGAGTTCATCATCAGTGAGCAGGGAGACTGGGAGCACTGGTCCAACAAGGTGAGAGGACTCTATGTTTCTCCTGAGTGTTAATCGCAGAGAATGAAGTCAGCATGCTTCATGCATGTCCTGTGTTTATGGTTCTGATCAGGTCCCAGAGTATGTCTACCCCAAAGACCACGTCCCTGACTACTCGTCCATCCTGGTTCCCAACGTAGACAACGTGAGGACGGACTTCCTGATGCAGACCATCATGAATCAGAGGAAGGCCGTGCTGCTGATCGGAGAGCAAGGAACAGCCAAGACCGTCATGATTAAAGTAAGAGTGCGCTCAGCCGTTCACCAGCACAGGCTAGCACAGGCTACAGCATGCAGCTTGCTCTCTGGCTCCCCCTGTAGGGCTACACTGGAAAGCTCGACCCAGAGCTCCACCTCAGTAAGACGGTGAACTTCTCTTCGGCCACGCTGCCCGGCATGTTCCAGAGGACGCTCGAGAGCTACATCGACAAACGCATGGGCACCACCTACGGGCCGCCGGCCGGACGCAGGATGACCGTCTTCATAGACGACATCAACATGCCCGTAATCAATGAATGGGGCGACCAGGTGGGCTTCAGGCTCTCTGTGATTGGTCAAACTTTTGCTAGCTTACCTCTTTGTTTCTCACAGAATCATCTCCACATCACAAATAACCAATCAGCTCAGTTTTTCCCCCCACCCTGTTCTCTCTAATATGTAACCAATCAGATTATTGTATCTCTGACACGCCCCCACATCTCACTCAGATAACCAATGAGATTGTGCGTCAGCTGATGGAGCAGGGAGGTTTCTACAGCCTGGATCGTCCAGGAGAGTTCATCACTGTGGTGGATGTTCAGGTGAAGTTTGGCTGTGGTTGGAGCGCTGTGGCACATTCTGGATGTTTCCATGGTGACAGACTGATGAAGGTTGCTGTGAGCAAAGGCAGGAGGACGCTACAGATATACTGGAGTATTACAGCTGTACCTAATGAAGTGGAGGGAAATATATGAAGTGAACACAAACCTGTTGGTTTGAGGGATTCCTTCAAAAGTTTTAAATCATAAACAGAGAGATGATGATGATGATGATGTTAGATCATCTGCTCTGTGACTGACTGATGTGTGTAATGATGTTTACCAGCTGGTGGCAGCCATGATTCACCCCGGCGGCGGTCGGAACGACATCCCTCAGCGTCTGAAGCGCCAGTTCTCCATCTTTAACTGCACGCTGCCCTCCAACTCCTCCATCGATAAGATCTTT